TTGGTGGACATGTTCAAAAATAACGGGTGTTTTACGGATCGCAGAAGGAACGATAGACATTTGTACCACCAGGTCGAAGTCAATTTATATTTGGCTAGAATGTAGATGAGGTGAATATCCGCCAACTCGGCGTTCGTATAACGATTTATATTCATCGCATGCTGTCCATATCTGAAATAAGGAAACCGCCCGTGCTAACCTTTAGAGCTCGCATACATTGCCATCTATCGCTTCCCGCCCATGCTTTCCTGTATAATTATTGCTTCTCATGTTTTACACCTCCCCTCCAAGTTTGTACATGGCATTCAAAGACACAGGGTAGGGCAAATAAAAGTGGCCAAGATGAGTGGATATGATTGGACGTGAATTTGACGCGCACTCCAAATGATTAAAACTGGTTCATTTCTTAATGGGGGCAGTGTCAATGCATGTTAATCAGTGGCAGCATCAACTGAGGAGAAAAGTACCTACAGTTACTACCATCAGGATATTGCAACTGCCCATACAACAGAGGTCAGTCTGGTCTCGGCCCTAGCTGGCCATCCAGGTCACCTGATCTGTCGGTGAGCGATTACGTGTTGTGGGGAACCCTCAAGCCTAATATTGATCGCTGAAACTCTCACAGTCTTCAAGAACTGCAACAAAACATTTCTGAAGAGATTGCAGCGATTCCAGAAGTCTAGCTTCGATCTGTCTTCCGCAATTTGCTGACCAAAGCACAAAGGGGCCAGGAGATGAACGGTTGTCATTTTCAACATCTGCTATAAGAAGTTTAACGAATTGCATCCTTTCCCATGTAGTGTTGCTCTGTAAGATGGAATTATGTTCTTCGGGCCAGTTTTATATTTGACCCACTCTGTATAAATATATTTTTAGTTTGTGTTATCATATCCTATTTCTTAAACAAAACGTCAAAATTTTCTCTGCATCAGCCATTTTTTAATTGTCGTATTACAGTGTCTCTCAAACTTTGGGATGCGCCATCCTAAAAGGGCGTGGCTAACCTGCGTGGGAGGGGGGGGTGCAAGCATATCAAAAAGTCGAAAATAAACGATGTTTTAAAAAATTATTTTATTTAAAAGTAATTAATTTAAAATATATTTTACTTAAAAGTAGTAACATACACAAAATTTTATACTTAACTTAATAATTTGTATGGTGCATAATTATACTTGTAATGTACCTTTACCACAAAATACATTATTATCACATTTAATGTATTATTGTATGAAAGGGGGCGTTGAAAATTAGGATTGAAAATTGGATCACAAATACTGAACGTTTGAGAAGCACTGTACTATTGAAGAAAAAAAAATTTCCCTTTTGCACATAATTGCTTCTTTTTACAAAGCAACACAATTTTAAATTTCCTCTCAAAGTTTCAATATATTCTGAAATATACAGCTAAATAAAATTTTACGCCGGAGTTTTCAAAGTAAATATATACCATTTAATTCAAAAATCCAAGTGAAGTAGTATCACTATCAAATATTTCAAATAATTTTATTTTTTTGGAACATTGAAGATCGCTCCAAAAAGCGAAATAAAATCCAATTGCTTTCGAGAATAAGAAAGCTTTCTTTATATTACCTTAAGTATTATTCAAGAATTGTGTTTATATTGAATTACAGCTGGAAAAAAAAACATTTCCGGAAATCAAAATATCTTTTACTATTTTAAGAGTTATTAGATTTCGGAAATACTCGGAAAATAAATCTTTTTTTCTAAACTTTCAATAAAGTTTTCGGAGGTTTAAACTTGCAACAATAGCTCTGGGGAGAAATTGTAAGGAAATTATTTCTGTATATGGGAATAGAGTGGTTTGATTTTTGACATAGTCGGGATCATAGAATATTGAATCGGTAATAAAATATTCTTTTGCTGCCTTATATTGTTGGATTTATTGCCTTAATATTCAATACAAAAGAATTAAGCATTTATATTGCTTACTTACATCTAGGAAATAACTATCAAAACACTTTTTATTTTTTATCGTATATATTTAAAAAAAATTATATATAAGGTAACCAAAAACGTTAAAAGTACTTTTCTTTAAGAAAAAATATTCTTAAACTTGAACATTATAAATTTTTTCTAGTGATCAGTCGCATTAAATAATAATAATTAATTCAAAATATTGTTGGTTAAGTTTCTAAAAAATTACAAAAATCACAAGAGAAACTTAAGCAATTAAAAGTCATGCAAAGCAACTGGAGAAAAAAGCAATAAACCTATATGAATAAAATTATTACAAAAATATTCCACACGCCTTTATCAAATGAATGTACTGAAATTTCAATACTTTGCTAAAATATAAAAGATTTAGAGCCCTTCGAATTAATATTGTAAGAAATGTGATATATATTTATGAGGTTATTTTTGTAAGAAGAGCCCATAACTAAGAAAATATTCATAAAGTACGAATTATTTTAGTACATTACCTAGAAAATAATATAAACATCCGGCTCAAAAAGTTTTATAGAAATACATTTATAATAGTTTGAGTTATCAAACCCTCCATGATAGATTTTGAATTTTTGAAAGACCAAATTCTGGTACATCAAAGACTCACTTACGGTTTTTCTATTTTTATGTAATTCATTGTAATTGGATTTCTTGTAAAGTAGAAGCAAAATAAAATTTGTTTTTTAAAGCCAAAAAAATTGCTAATTAAAAGAAACCAAAAACTGTATGTTTCATTGAAACAATCCATTTCACTTTGTTCAGATGCATTAAAGGACTAATCCTAAGCCACTTTTAGAAATAAAAGAAAACACCGTGGGATAATACCGCAAACCCACTTTCTGTCTTTCTGGTCAATTTCCACAAATATCTTTTTAACGGATATCTAGAAAATAAAAGAAACATGCCCTCCACATTTCAAGTATTTTGCGCTAATAGCCTCAAAACTGGGAAGATTTGAATAAAATGCCTTCATTACCTGCCTTGGGATTCGAGTTTTGAAAAAGGAGCTCTCACAGTGGATCTCTGTTAAACAAAAGAAACACCCCTGCCAAATTTCAACTTGGTAGGTCTAATACTCCTGAAAATCTCGTGATGAGTGTGTCGCCTTTTTCCTATACAGTAAAACCTGTTTTTGTGCCGTAGAAGCGACCGCATAAAAAACGCACAAAAAAATATTCGAAAATTTTATAAATTCTTACATATAACAAACAACTTCGTCGAAATACTACATAATTTTTTTTATGCGGTGGAAAGGCACCGCACAAAAAAAGTCTCACTTACAAAATACGCCAATTATTTACGAAATTTATGAGAAAGTATTTGCATGACGAAATAAATTATTAAGTTGCACATGGAAACATTTGAAAAACATTCAGTTTCTCATTATATTAATGGAAACGTTTTCAAAATGCAAATACATAATTCACCTCTACTCGTCGTAATCCAAAGCACTCATCTTCCTGTGATGAATATGTTCAAGATCGCTTTCGTCACTCGCAGATACAATTTCAATTGATTTATTTTTGGCACCATAAAGTAAGAGATAAGTTTTAGCGACGAAGGTGGGTTGGTCAATTGTGCTTGTGAATGTCACCGTAACCAAATAGGCATGATCAAAGTTCTTTTTGAAATTTCCTACTCCTTTCGAAATTGGTATCTATTTTAAGAAAATGCTTTTCCAATTTGTTGGAAAGCTGGATCACTGCCTATGTTTTATCCGCTCTGAAATAATCCGGTTCTTCTTGTCCGTCATAATTTATCAAATTATTGATAATGTTACTGTCATTGAAAGTTTCATCTTCTATCAAGCGCGGGGTGTTGGCGCGTTGAGAGAAAACAACTGAATGTGCATTGTCGGGAGACTGTTTACAACAAATGAACAGAGTTTTTTAAAGTGCATATACGTACACTGCAGTGGCGTAGTGCACACACTCGCGGCCCTCTCCTCCCTCATTGCGGGAGGGTCCTAGGACTGTAGGGGGCTCAAAACATGACTAACGTCAACTACGTATCTATCCAATTTTCAAAATATTAAAAGCCAAAACCTGACTTTTCAGGGAGGGCCTAACATTCTCCGCGCCACTAGTGCATTGATAAAAGCAGCGCCTTTAAGTGTATGTATGTATATTTCAGTGGCGTAACGTACACCCCTGCCTCACGGGGAAGGACAGGACTCTTTAGGGACTCAAGGCCTAAGTATGTATTTACCTAGTTTATAAAATATTAAAGGCAAAACCTGATTTTTTGCAGGGGGGGGGGACCTTACATTCTTTCTTCGCCACTGGTACATTGATAGAAAACATTTCAGTGGCGCCAAAGCCATTGAAATTCATATACCGCATAAAACAGATTGCACAGATCAAATCATTCAAAAATAAAATAGCATAAAAAATAGCCGTAAAAAACAGGTTCTACTGTATTTACTTAGATATGTACCTTAAATCTATGTAACAGATCGCTTACGGAAAAGTTTCAACCACGGTAGCTGAATGATCACGTGATCGAGTCCTACCGTGAAAGACACACTGTGTAAAGGAGCTGATGCACGTTAAATCTGTCGAGTTCCCACGTACTCCCGTTGACATGGTGTGGAAGTTAGGAGGTAAATCGCCCGTTTTAGTTTCCGTAAATAAAAATATTAAAACAAATTTTGGAGAAAAAAATACTAGATTCCGACGATTTATTTCAGTAAATATATTTTAATTTTACAATAATCGCAATCAAGTGATGTATAAGAAAAAAAAATATTAAATAAATTTACCTAAAGATATTTTAAACAAGTAATTTTTAAAAAAAAATAACTCAATTCCTACTTAGATTTAAAAAAAAAAATATTCCAGTTACGTTTTATTAAATAATTACAATTAATATAAATATGCATATACATATGACAGAATCACAATATTAAGTGACAAAATAGAAAGCGATTTTCCTTTCTATATATGTTGTTGGACTTTTATTTATGTTTGTTACTAAATATTCATTAATTAAATTTAATTATCCCAATAAAATAGTATAGTAAAAAGAAATTAGGTAATCCCAGGTGGGATTCGAATCCACGACATTTGGATTAATGGTTCAACTCGCTATCCATTACGCTACAGGGACACAACGAGCGATTTTCCTCTTTATATATTTTTGTTTGTTACTACTTATTCCTTTTTCTAAAATTAATTATCGATTAAAAATTTGCATTAACATCAAGTGTCATCCACTACGTGTTTAGAAAAATGTATTTGAATTTCAGTGGGTGATTAAAAAGTAATTTATTAACGATTGAAAATTTGAACAAGGTATATAAATATATATACGGAGAGTGTGAATTAATATTAAGAATTGAAACACTGCTTTATGATTCGTCCACATATTTTTGATTTACCACCCTATTTATTACTACGAAGAAAAATCTGCTCAAAATCAAAATATCAGCAGATTTTTTTGTGATATAATTCACTTGAAACTTCGGCAGTAATTATTTAAGGGAGTTTTGGCTACATTTGGATGGGAAAATATCTTTGCTAGGTCATTTTCGAGTGAGCTTTGTGTTGAGAGGATTATCCGCGATTATTTATTGTCCTGACTTCCCGACTGCCGTTTCAAATAACGGTCAGTTTATCTTATTGATTGTAAGTCCTAACTCGTCGTAACTACAATATCGGTGGATTTAGAATTATTAAGTGTAATGTAAAATTTATATTTCTCTATGCCTACCAAGGAAATATGAGACATCATACACTTGATTAAGACTACACAATACCCTACACATTTCATAAGTACCATTTTTTTATTTTTTTATTTTCTTGTGGCTTATACACTTAAGAGCCAAAATATTATGACCACCCCTACATTTTGCAATGGACTCGCCTGGATGACATGGAAGGCACGTAATCTGATGGAAGTGGTATTTAACTGCTGCTGGAGAGTCTGAAGAATCATTCTTTCACTTACTTCTGCGTGTGATGGGTAAGGCTGCGGATCGAAGCGACTTTGATTGAGGGCAGATTGTAATGGCTCAAAGGCTCGGAACAAGTATTTCCGAAACTGCACGACTCATGGGTTGTTCGCGATCTACAGTTGTTAGTACTTAAGCAAAGTGGATAAATGACGGTGAAACCAGCAGTAAAAGACATGGTTCTTGGACATCCACAACCTATCAAAGAAAAAGGTCGTCGGAGACTGTCTCGCATAGTAAAGCAAAACCAGAGCCAGGCAGTGGCTCAGCTGAAAGTCCAATACAATGTAGGGTCAAGTAGAATAGTATCGGAGCACACTGTTCAGTGGAGACTGTTGGATATGAAGCTACGCAGCAAACGTCCCACTCGTGTGCCTTTGCTGACCAAGCGTCATCGCCAACTGCGCCTGCGCTGGGCCCGGGAATATCGTCACTGGTCCATGGATCAGTGGGAGAGAGTTGCCTCGTCAGATGAATCACGGTTTGTCATTCAGTTGCTCCCTCAATGTACAGTAGGTCATTACACAGGCCAGTGGTGGCAGTATTATGCTTTGGGGGACGTTCTCTTGCGTCTCTCTGGGATTCGTGGTTGTGGTAGAGCAGACCATGAATGCTTCAGGTTATCTGAACATCATTGTGTACCAGTTGCACCCTTACATGGCCTCTGTTTTTCCAGCTGGAAATGAAATTTTCCAACAGGACAACACCCCGTGTCACAAGGCTAAAATTGTGTTGGAGTGGTTCCAGGAACATGATGCTGAATTCCAGTTAATGTCCTGGCCACTTAACTCACGGGAACTCAATCCGATAGAACACATTTGGTATGTCAGGGGACGGTAGCTCAGCGTTCAAAGACCACCATTTCGCAATATCTCAGATTTGAGAGAACGTTTCCTAAACATCTGGTACAACCTGTCTCCGGCCATCTACCAAGGACTTGTGGCATCAATGCCAAGGCGGGTTGAAGCTGTGTTGCGGGCCAAAGGTGGGCCAACTCGTTATTGACAGGGGGTCATAATGTTTTGGCTCTTGAGTGTATCTTTGAGAAGCTTGCAGCCAAATTTCAGATGTGTTAAGAAATTAATTTTCAAGATATTTAAAGTTTTATGAGCTATGGTTTTGGTTTCGTTTTCATTTTAAAACATTTAACCACTCTTAAATTTACTTAAAATAATTTTGAGCACAATAAACTTTTTTAGTGTGAAATATTTATTAATTCCAATTTTAATTACTAAAATTATTTCTGCTTAATTATGTTTTGAGATTTTTGAATTCTCATAATGGATTAAAATTGATTTCAAGGCCAATTTTTGCTTTAAAAAATAGTTAATATAATTTAGAAACGTTTTCATTAATTTTTCCTGTTGAGAAAATGCTATAGCCCAAAAAATCTTGTGAGAAACAATATTTCGAAGAGATAAAATACTACTGAAAATGATGTATCTAAAAATCAGTCCTCAACTGATACTGCAGTTGGATTTCCGAATACAAATATTCTAAATTCAAGTATTGCAGAAAAAACTGAATATTTCTATGATGTGTACCAAAACTACCTTATAGTAAAGATATTGTAGAATTATATTTTAGTATTTTAAAGACATACAAAAAGAAGTAAAACTTCCTAAACTGTATCGGTTATCCTTTTTATTAATTAAAATTAAGTTACAGTATAGTCATCCAAAAAATAAATCGTGTATATAAAATTTCAGCTCAATTGAGCGCTTTAAAGTATATGTTATTAACGATTGAAAATTTGAACAAGAAATAGGGAGATTGTGAATTAATAGTAGGAATTGAAAAATAACAAGCGTTTTACCATTTTGGAATCCTAACAAAATGGGTTATCTTTTGAAATAACTTATGAGCGCTGTTTTTTAAGTAAAGTCCGTTTGTTTTTAAAAAGTTAAGGAGAATATTATGTTTCAAAAAACCTTTATTTAAGGACTGTACATACTTTTGCCTATTTTTCCACATAGTTGCCGATTTTTTAATGCACTTTTCATACCTTAAAACTACGTTTTGAAAACCCTCTTCAAAGAAGTTTGCTCCCGGGTCGGACAGCCAAGAGTTCAAGTTTTCCCTTCTCCGTTGTCACTGAAGTGATTCCCGCCAAAACTGTTTGAGGTACCGGAAAAGGTTAAAATCACTGGGAGCAAGGTTGGGGCTGTATGGTGCATGCTCAGAAAACCTCCCAGCCAAAAGATTCGATTAACTCCCGAGTCGTTCGAGAAGAGTGGGACTTGGCGTTGTCGTGGAGGAGCAAAACACCTTTCGACAGCATGCCGCGCCGTTTGTTTTGTAATGCTCTTCGGAGCTTCTGTAGAGTTGCGCAGTAGGCCCCAGGCGGCAGCCTTCTTTGAAGAGGGTTTTCAAAACGTAGTCTTAAGGTATTACAAGTGCATTAATAAAATTGGCAGCTATGCAGAAAAATAGGCAAAAGTATGTACAATACTAAAATAAAGGTTTTTGAAACAAAATACTAATAAAATGAATGCATTAAAAAGTTTATTTGTGTTCCGCTTTTAATATTTTAGAGATATATTTCTATTCAAAATAGCCCCTCCTTCCCCGCTAACTTGTGTAGTAGTTCTAAACAAAGGTAAAAACAAATTCAAAAGAATTTTTTAGTTTTTTTTTATCGAAATATTAAGAATTGTTTGTACCCGCTATACTGACAATGTTAAATTGAGCTTATTTATGCACCTTTTTCTCAGCAACTGTTAAATAAAAAAAACTGTTAAAACATACTTTAAAATTTATACCGAAGTTAGATTTTTCAAATATATTGTTTAGTTTTTTTTTCAAAAACATGCAACGTAAAAGTATATCACTATGAATTTTTTGAAAATTGTCATTTTTTGTTGAGATATCTGGTCTCTAGCCAATTAATTTGAGAATACTTCAAAATAATCACATCAGTATTGTTACATATCAGTAATATGAAAGAAAAATTGTAGGTTCATTCAAATAGTAGATTCTGAGAAAAAGGCTCACGTAATTTTAAATGCATTTTTGATATAAAATGTAACTTCATCACAAAAATTATAAATTACAACATGCATTTGTCCCAACCTCAAAATCTGCGAATCGCAAGTTCAAGTCTGGATGCCACTGATGACCCACCGTGAAGAGCAGTGTTTCCCAAAATGTTGTATGCGTAACCCAGGGGTACGGGAAGAGTTTGGTGGGGGTACGCGTTGCACCGTAGTTTGGTGGGGATATGCACTGCATCGTGTTAAGCTGCGTCTAATTCAACGATCCCATGAGTCAAATCGGAACAATTTGATACTTCGCATTGTTCCAAATATAAATGTTATTCCACAAAAAAAGCTTTTATTTATATTTTATAATGAATCATTTCATTTCTCTTTTCTTATTATTCTGTGTATGCCACAAAAAAAAGATAAATATATTTTGATTGTTATTAAAATACATCCATTTTTTTACGAGGGGTGCTAAGCGTTACGAAAACTATAGAAGGGGTGCACGTACGTCAAGAGTTTGGGGAATACTGGTGTAGAAGGCATGTAGCACGTAAAATATGTCCTAAGTTAAGTTCCTCCCGTTGGTTTGGAGTGTCAACATCCTCATCACTTGACTTTATTTAAAAAATACGTGGTCCTTCACGTCAATAGTTCTCCTGTTATATTAAAACAAGTAATATAAATAATTGTAAGTCAGTTTATACTTAGGTCAGCAAAGAAAAATTATTTTAGCTACTTTTTATTAAATAATTACATTTACTTTTAATTTGTCTATACATAAGTGAGTGAGTGAATATTAACGTCGCACTGATCAGCAACACGAAGGCTTTTGGCGACGGTCCGCGTAATTTTGAACCATATTCAAGTGACGCGGATGGCACCTGAGCTGGCACCCCCTCTCCTAACTACCACACCACACCAACGGGAGGACGTTTGAGCACTCGACAGATTTAATGTGCATCGCTCCCCTACACGGCGGGTCTAAAGTGGTACTAGGATCGAACTCATGACACGCTAGCCATGATCCGATGCCTAGACCACTCGGCCACCTCAGCCGCTATATATATACATATGATGGAATCACAATATTAAGAAGCAAAATGGAAACAATTTGCCTTGAAATTTTCCATTTTCCTTCCTATATAGGGTGTTAGACTATTATTTTTGATTGT